CCTGTCCCCTATATAGTGCACTACGTGCCATTCACTGTACAGAAAATACTAATTCTGTGGACAAGTGACCGATTTCAGCCGCGGCTTCAGCGTCTATTTTATAGTGTAGGGGGCGGGCGCTTCGGATTCTAGAGAGCATTTGATTGGACAGAAAGTTTGATGAGAAGCTGAAGTACGATGTGACGTCAAAAAAATTGTTGAGCCGTTTTGGCGGAAGTGACGAACTGCAAGCTTTGAATGCTTATATCTTCTAAATGCGAATTTTGTCACTGTTTTGGAGCACACTGCCTTATAGATAACCTTAAGACTAACATATTGATACTAACACCCAAAAAACTTTAATTTTGATTTCATGGGGACTTTAAGCATTTAAAAAAGCACTGTTAAGTTTAGCTAATTGTATTTAAAATAAATAAACTAAAACACATTTTCATTTCATTACAATTAACATGCAATTAAGTGTCTGAAAAATATTAGTTTTATTTTTCATTTGAATTATATTTTTTGAAGTATATTATTACCATGATAAGTGCTCTTTTTAAAAGTATTTAAAAGTAAAGTATACTTCTTTTTGACAAACATGCATCACACAGTATTTCAGTCATCTTTCAGAAACTTCATTTCACAACTTCATTTCTTTATTAGCTGCAAAATTGATTAATAGGAATGACACTACATCTGAGGGACAAGTCATAATTTATTAGAAAATTATTATTTTCAAGAAATAAATATCGAAATGGTTTAGGACTGTTTCACTTTTTTATAGTTTGAACATTTTGTTGATTAGATTTAAAGTTAAAAGTATTAGATTGAAAGTTTAAAACAAGCTTTATCAATAAAAATACATTTGAAAACTTGAGTTTGGAAACCTTGGTTTGAAAAAATACATTCAGTTTTCAAGGTAACCTTCAATATATATAAAAAAACAATTTGAAATTAATTTTAATAAAATCAATGCATCACCCTTAAGAGAAATGGTTTTAAACAGAAGGCTGATATGGTTCTAAATAAAACTGTTACTACATGTAAAGAACCTTTAAAGAAGAATCTTTTTGTAAGTGCTGAAGTAACAGTCTGCTGTTATGTTGAGTGGTGTTTCTGTGTGTTTGTGGTCTCAGGTGCTGGGCACTCCCACACGGGAGCAGATTCGGGAAATGAACCCAAACTACACCGAGTTCAAATTCCCGCAGATTAAGGCCCACCCATGGACTAAGGTGAGTAAACAGGTACAGGACAACCGTTTTACTACTTCTAGCACAGCCGCCCTCCACCTCCAGCCGTCAGCTCGACTCATTGTCCTGACTCCATTCCATTCACATCACCCAGACGTCTGCACCACACAGGCCTCGCCGACTGCATTTCATTTAGTGTTCTTTGACACTTACTTCTCAACTAGTTGATGAAAGAAGGACCATTTCAGTCAGGATTGTCTGTATGTAGACATCCTCTTTCTGAGCTCTGTTGTAATGCTTAGCCAAGTGACCTTACAGTCTGTTCCCAATCCTAGTGAGCTGCCTACTTAGGAAGCCTGGTTCAGAAAAGGTAGGCGGAATAATTATGCTGCCACCTAAGATAGCTTGATTTAGAAAGGAGAAGGCGATTCTAGAATGCATTAGGTCAAGATAAAAAAAAATCTGATTCTGGAATTATAAATGTTATGTATGTTATGTGTACTATAAATATTATTGTGGTTCATTCAATACTAAATAAAACTGATCAATAAAAATAGTTTGAAAACTGCATATTTTACTCAGTATTTGTGTGCTTTGTATTATAAGGCGGCGGCTGCATGTTTAGGTTTTGGAACAGAGCTGACCTCATATCCATTTGAATTGAATGACTTTTCCAGACATGCTCTCGACATTGCTTGCTGACTTCATTACACTTTTTACAATTGTTGTTTACTCTGTGGTCTAGGTTTTTGGATTGTGGTATCCAGTACTTTTCAAAAGTTTGGGTCAGTAAGATATTTTAAAAGCAGTTAATACTTTTATTCCGCATTAAATTGATAAAAGACATTTATAAATGACATTTCTATGATAAAATTATATCACTTTTTATTTATCCAATCCTGAAAAAAAGATATCATTGTTTCTACAAAATATTAAGCATTAAGCAGCTGTTTGAACATTTATAATAATAATAATAAATGTTTCTCGAGCAGCAAATCAGAATATTAGACTAGACTAATGAGGTGAAAATTCAGCTTTGGAATCCATGACATTTTAAAATATATTCAAATAGATAACAGTTATTTTAAATTGTAATGTTTCACAATATTTACTGTATTTTTTATCAAATAAATGCCACTTCTGTGAGCAATAAAGACTTTTTTCAAAAATATTGCAAAATCCTACTGACCCCAAACCCTTGAACAGTAGTGTATGTTATGCCTTGCAACCGAAAATGTTGCCATGTACATCAAACTGAAGTTGCTGAGTCATTTGAAATCACATTTGAAGGACAGATGAACTGTTCCAGATGGACATTATAACTGGTAATGAGTCTTGGTACTTTTCTTTGGTATGCTTAGAAAGGGAAGTGTACACAAACAAAATGTCATTTTATTTATTGCTTTAAAAAACCATTGCATTCTTGAAAACTGTGATGCAGATCTCAAATTGATATTTTTGTCTGGCCATTACACTAAAGTAAATTTACCTAACACTGTAGTCCACATGAAGTATAATAGCAGGATCTCTCATGTGCCGCCTGGTGGTCATTGTATGTAGTACACAGCTGAGCTGCAGGGTGTGTTTAGTCTTATCCTCCAATCAGACCCTTCCCTCCAACACAGTCTTACCTTCTGCACAGGATATGCCCCAATGCCTATGACTCAAACACCTCTAAAGGCAGAAATGCCTTCCTTTCCTTCCGCTTCCTGTAAGCCAGAGCTTGAGCCAGACATAAACAAGTCTTATTTCAATTACTACACTTCAAGTCAAGTCAAGTCAAGTCAAGTCAAGTCTGCTTTATTGTCAATTCTTCCACATGTACAGCACATACACACAGAGAATTGAAATTGCGTTACTCTCAGACCCTTGGTGCATACAGATAACACTAGCAGTAGAACATAAATACAGATATACAGATTAAATATAAAATACAACTATACAAATATACAAATAAGGTAAAATGTAAAAAAATATATAAAAAAATATATATAAAGCAGCACACGGCACATGGCAGATAGAGTGCAAACCAGTGAAATGTAAAACAGTGAAATGTAAAACAAACCAGTGAAATGTAAAACCAGTGAAACTTCTTGCTCTATTGAAGACCAAAACCTTAAAGACTTGGCTACGAAAACCATATGAGCATTTCGTCCTTAATAACCAGGAAAACGTATACAGTTCCTTTAACAGCCCATAATGGGACATGATGTCACCCTATACAGGGCAGGCTGTTATAATGTCAACCTGGAGCCTCGTTTGTAAAAACGTGCATATAATCATCCTAAATGTGTAGCCTACATGAGATAATTTCCTAAATGGTTCATAGATGACTCAGTTTCCTATGAATGATTCAGAAAACATCCATAGCTACAGACATGTCATGGCTTTATTAATCGCAAATCATGTGCATATGAACGAGTGATCATTCAGATAGAATGAAGAAAGCTTATGCAAAAGTTATAATGCCATAACATGTGGTTATTCATTCCAAAAAGGTTTGAATGCACACTTAATTATGTAGTTATGCATAATTTGGTTACACTATATTTTACTATTAATTAACTACATATACTTACTATATGGTTAGGATTAGGGTTACTTGCATGTAATTATGCATAATTTATTGTTGTGATAATAGTAAGTACATGTAACATGTGTAACAAGGACACCTTAAAGGAGTCATATGATGCGATTTCAAGTTTTCCTTTCTCTCAGACAAGCTGATTGTGCATAGATAAGATCCCTGAAGTTGCAAAGACTAAAGTCTCAAAACCAAAAAGATATTCTTTATCAAAGTTAAGATTCTGCCACGCCCCCCTAAAACAGCTCGTTCTAAGCAGCGCAGAGTAACGCGTCGTGTGTGTGTGTGTGAGGGGAACAGGGTCACATCACAGGAGAGTGAACTGAAAAAAATTCTGATGTCTGTCAGAAATCATAGCACGTCAGCTGTCTTAACCGTGGCTTGTGTACTGCAAACACATACCAGCTTCATCACTGTGGCTGTCACACGACTCTGTTCCCCTTTCGGGCTGTCTTTACATTTATTTTGAAAGATGGAGCTCGCGATTATGGTAAGGGGCGTTACATTTCCGACGAGTGCTTGCGGTGTTCGGCCAATCACAATGCACTGGATCAACTGGCCGATCAGAGAAGACTGCGCTTGTTGGAAGGAGGGACTTTGTAGAAAACGAAGCGTTTGAGAGAGGCGGGGCATAGAGGACCTACAATAATGTACAGTATTTGAAAAATAATGTGTTTTTTGAACATTAAAGCATGTCAACATATTCTGTTACACCAAATACACAAAATAATGATCTTTAAAAAAAGCATCATATGACCCCTTTAAAATAAAGTGTTACCCTTAAGTTATAAGACATGTAACAAGGACACTGAAAATAAAGTGTTACAGTTAGTTTATTCATACTACAAATATACACTTTACTAATATACTCTTAGTAAACTTCTGAATTGTCTCGGCAGGTGTTTCGGCCACGCACGCCTCCTGAAGCCATTGCGTTGTGCTCGCGGCTGTTGGAATACACCCCGACTGCTCGGCTGACCCCACTAGAGGCCTGTGCTCACTCCTTCTTTGATGAGCTGCGGGATCCCAATGTCAAACTTCCTAATGGGCGTGAGAAACCATCCTTATTCAACTTCACAACTCAAGGTAAGGCCTTATTTTGCATTTGCTCTTTTGAAGAAACGTTCTGTCAAATGCAAGGTAGTCAGCTTTTGGTGTTGTTTGTTTGTTTGACTTGACTCAGAGCTGTCCAGTAACCCATCCCTGGCCTCTATCCTAATTCCTGCTCATGCACGTAACCAGGCAGGAGCCTCTACCCCCACCAACGCCTCTGCCACTTCAGGTCAGACCCTTTTTCTGCTCATCTGACATCACTTATATTTTGGATGTAGCTCACTCTCATACAGTGTTCATATTATAGTATTTTTAGTGAACAGGGGGTTTTGTGTCATAGCTGTTACTGTATCGACCAACCAGAAGCTAGAACCTCTGTTTTATCAGTTACGTTTTTATTCAATGTATAAAATGTACACAGTAAAGAATAATTCAAATCACTTGTTTTTATTGTTCGCTTTATATTGGTTTTGATAAACTTTTATACCATTTTCAAGAAACGTGTAAATTTAATGACTCTACAAACGTCGTGTGGGTTAACTATCCATTAAAATTAATAGCATATTTTCCTAATCTATCTTTATCTTCATTATCAAAAAAGGTTTTAAAATATTTTTATTGGGAAATTTAAATGTATTTTAAAGGAAATATTGGAGTAGCACCACATGACATATTATAGTGTTGTTACTAAGTAAAATTATTAAAAATATTTTATTTTTGTTTAAATAATATTTTTGTTGTTTTCAATAAAGCTAATATTAAATACAATGTAAATATTAGACTAAAAATGTAACTTAAAAAAATAGAAATGTTGGAAACTTACTCTAATATAATGAATACGTTTGTGAATAAGTTTGAACAAGTTGAAGTACTAAAATTACTAAAACTGAATTAAAGCTAAATAGAAATACACAAACTAAAATTAAAATAATAAAACAGCTAATAAAAAAATAATAAATACTATATTAGTATTTAAATAATACTAAAATAATACTGTTATATAATATAACAAACTAAAAAAAAATTACCTTGCTAAGCTTATTGAACTTCAACTTATTGAACTTTTCACACAGTCATGAGGGTCTTCATGGCTTGTCTATATGATATCATTTCTGTTTTGTTTTGTTTTTGCATTCAAATATAAAGCCAAACTACATATTAAAGCTTTTTTTAATGATAATTTAATTAAATGTTAATCTTTTAATATATCTTTAATATTTTATTATGGTATCAGTACAGTTATATCATGATGCAGGCATTTTTTACTGTATGCCACAAAAATGATCAAAATTAATTTTAACAGAAATTTAAAAAAATTATATCATTTCTATGTGATATCATTTCTGGTTTTGTGCATTAAAATATAATGCCAAACTACTTATTAAAGCTTTTTTTTAAATGAGAATTTAATAAAAATGTTATTCTTTTAATATATCTTTAATATTTTATTATGGTATCAAGACAGTTGTATCACGCTGGCATTTTTTACTTTATGCCACAAAAATAATCAAAATTCATTTTAATTTAGAAATTAAAAGCATGTTCATCATACAGGAACTGCATTCAAAACATCGATGAATTGCATTTTGAATGTATTTTTGAAGAATTTAATAGATATGACAGGAAAATGAGCATCACCTTACTGACCCTTATAACATGCAATATATACAAAAAAAAAAATTCTCTTTGTGTCCAGATGCCAATATTGGAGATCGCAGTCAGACCACAACTGCAGCCTCTGCCTCCGCCTCCAACACGTCAACCTGAGAGCCTTAGCCAATCAGACCTGACCCTGCCTCTGAGGCCACGCCCACCCCACTGCTCACCAGCTTAATGGGCAGGAATTGAGTCACGCAACCACCACTCTTATTCAGACTGCAAGAGCCAACCTTCATTTACATCTTTTTTTTAAATTTTTTATTAAGTTCAGAAATAGATCAAAATTACATGTGTGGAAATGCCTCGTCGGGTGTTATTTTCGAGAATGACAGAGACCGAGAAAAAGAGAGAGCAGTGAGGAAACGGGTCGGTAGGGCGGGGGGTGTTTAACCATAAAACCTGGTCCATGACCAGCCACAACTTTTTTTTTTTTTTCATTCTCAGAGGACAATCTTGTTATGTAAGCAATCCGGTAGCCAGATCCATCCACTTCCGTTTTCATTTGGGCACCCCTTCTCTCACCTGGACCGTCTCTAGCTACACGTTCTGTCCCTTTATCCTGTCCTGGGCCTTTAATAGTGCATGGCTTGAATTTGGTTGGGAGCACCCCTTGTATACAGTATATATACATATAGCGTGTATATACATATATATGTATATGTATTGGGTGAAAACGATGCAAGCATTCAAAACTACAAGAAATACCATATCTAATCGTATCTAACAAACACAAGGCACCGTACAAGTGGTATAAATATAAAAACCACATGTTCCAACCACAAAGACAAGAGAGAAATACTCTGTTACAGGGTTTTAAGTCGGCTGAATCTGTTTTATCTTGTTTTATAAAATGGGCGGGCTATAGGGCAAGGGCAGACATTTTGATTGACAGGTGAGACGTGCGTCTCCATCTCTGTGTTCTTGTATGATATATACATACACAGTTTATATATTACTTTGCATTATGTAAAATAAATATATATATATATATATATATATATATAGTTATATATAGATCTATATCTAGCATCATCGGTTCAGAATACATCATTTTTTTCAGCGCAGCGGCTGACCGAAATGATACAGTATATGTATGACTAAGCGTCTTCTCTGCTGTTTTCTGTTAGCCTGGTAGAATTAGAGATCACCTTCTGTCCTGGTTTGCTCTCGTTATTTATTGTCGCGTGCGCGTCAGTGTCGTAACGCTCAGATTCATTGTTCTTATCCACACAGCTAAATGTAAAGAACACATGAAGAAACGCATCGATGTGGCGCCGGCTTCACAGAGACTGTGTTTGCGCTCCATTCACAGTGGCTGTGTTATTTTAACCACTACTTTTTTCTTGTCATGTCTCAGCGTAACTTACAGAAAAATTTACTTTTTTCTTTCCCAAAATGTCTTAATACGCAAAGTATAGCAGTATAAGAAAACGACAGACGTGTATATACAGTACAGCACAGTTGCTCCTCACCAAATTCTGGCTTTTACTTCTTATGTTTTGATTTTTGTATAATTTGTGAGCGCGTGTGAGTGAGTGAGCGTTCTGCTATGTACATAAATATGCTGACCTGAGAACTGTTCATGAGCGAAAACAAAGACGAGGGATTAAATGAGAACGGATCAAAGAAAAAAAAGTCAAAAAATTAAAAAACGATTTAAAAGATCAGGGCAAACATGACCTGTTTGTTGGATACTGTAGACAAGGAGCTTTCTCCAGCCATATAGTTCAATCTTATCTGTACAGTAGGTGTCAGCTATATTATTGTAACTATAACTAGTAATGTATAGTGTATCTATAGTTTGGAGTGCCTTTGCTTCCATACCCTTCCTGTTCCTAGACCACACCCACTTCCTGTCCACACACAAGACAGACCACGCCCCTTCCGGTGACCCTCTGCAGGTGCTGTTGATTGGCCAAGTCTGAATGACTGACAGCCGGCTTCATTTCCTGTCCGAAACCACATTCGCTGTAGATGTTTTTCCTCATTTTTTGGCACAAAGGTGTTTTTGTGTGTGGAGGAAGTCACGTTCCTGTGGAGCCAATCACAATGTATGTTCTTACACTCGTTCCACTACCAAAGTGAACCAACTATGAGCGTGTTGTGATGTGACTGCGACATCCCAGGGGCAATAATAATAATTTCTTTGTGTTTTCGCTCATTGGCCAGCTGACAGTACGCAGTAGAGATGTCACGTAGCACCCGCCGGACCCTCAATGTAAAGCTTGCTTGTAAGATACGCATTCATAGATGTGTTGCTTTCCACGAATGGTGTGACCACTTCTCGTGACTAAAGTTAGAGTAAAAATGTAAAGACGCAAGGGTTAAAAACAATTACCAAAATAAAAAAAAAAGACAAAAAAATTGTTTTAAGGACTGTGGGCTAAATACAGACTATCGCATTACGTACACTTATTGGGAAAAACGTTGTCTTGGTTTAAAACGGAAAAAAAATGGAAAAAATAATACAACCTGTATAACATTAATATTACTTGAATGCCTCTGTTTGTGATTGAAATTTTTATTTTAAATATATATTATTTTAAATATATATTCTTTTTCTGTGAAGATATGCTAAATGTCTCCTCTCCTTGTAAATATGTCCGTTTTGGTCCTTGGTGTGACTTGGATTCAGAGACTAGTTACCTGGTACTGTAATTTGCATTAAATAAAGAGTCCGTTTTGGTGCTTGGTGTGACTTGGATTCAGAGACTAGTTACCTGGTACTGTAATTTGCATTAAATAAAGAGTAGGATAACTTGGAAATGACCCTGCATTTGCCACGCGTCTTTCTTTTCCCAACTCAAAATGTCCCTAATCTCAAATTCAGTCCATTTAGACTAAATTAAAGTGCAATTAAATGTCTCTCTTTTTTCATCACTCTTCATTCCTAAGATGTTTAAAAGTGATTCTCGTAAGTGCCTGGGTTCAAATAAAACATACTTTAAATGAATTTTAAGTGGCTTTGGGATAAAAGCGTCTGTGTTACACTACTGTGCGAAAGTTTGAGTCAACTTTAGGGTCAATTGACCCTTTGCAAGGAGTAAAGGCAATGACTTCTCAAGAAAGTGTCTGTGTGATGAACTTTTGCAGCCTGTCTGATTCTTCAGAATTGTAGACATTCATATGTTGCGCAAAATTCTGTAAGCTCTGTTACTAATATAAAACATTCACAGCAGACATGAAAGGACTAGCTAGCACAACTCTTTTGATACCCAGCGACACATCAGAGTGAATCTCACAAAATCTGACAAGAACTTATCCAGGTCCAAAAATAAAATGCCCAGTTTGCATAAAAGTAAGCCTATTTTTTTTATTACTGTAAAAAAATTTATCTGATTCTCATTACTGTAATGAAAAATAATTATGAAAAAAAAAGATATTTTGCATAAAATCATAATGTCCATAATGAAAAAACCATGCAATCTGACCAATCATAACGCCGAATCTGCCATTTTGTCCGACAAACAAACCAGACAGGAGAGTAGATTAACGTTGGTGGACTTGAACTTGAAAAACTGTGTGCATTTCTGCAGTTGAAACAAGATACCTTCTAATGTTCATTCATGTTTATTTCATGCTATAACTAGTAAAGAGGAGATGATCGCTTCATGTGCCTGAAGGATCATGTGACACTGAAGACTGGAGTTATGATCCTGAAAATTCAGCTTTGCATCACTCTTTTAAATATATTAAAAGAGAAAACAGTATTAAATTGTAATATTATTTCACAATAGTACTATATTTGTGATCAAATAAATGCAGCTTTCTTTTTTTAAAACTATTAAGTTACACAGTAAATGATTCTGCACACATTCTCATTCAATTTTACATTTTATTTTCCTGAGAGGGTCATACACTGGGTCTTACTTTGAAAATAACCACTGTAAAGACAGAAAACCTGAGTGTATTGTGTAGAAATTACTCGTATTGTGACAAGTTTCCCCATCATATTGCAGACAGAATGAAATAACTGCCTAATCTACATAGCATGCCAACCTGAAGGCATTTTAAACGAGTCTGTGCTTTATAGAGACACCTGAAACCTGAATACTCTGCTTGTATTTGAGTAAAATATGTGAAAGAGTCCTTTCCAAAAAAAAAAATACTGAACTCCTAGTTTGAACCCTCAACATCTGCTCTACATTGTCATGTCACATCCACATATGACACTAGCTCACAATCTTTACATTGATTGTCAAGGTTAATTAACCTTTTTAGATCCATTGACAAAACGAACCAGAAAAGGTACAAATGACCTTTAAAGTTCCTCAAAAAACATAATTTCTTTACGACTGAAGAAAGAAAGACATGAACATCTTGGATGACAAGGGGGTGAGTACATTATCTGTAAATTTTTGTTCGGGAAGTGAACTAACTACTCAGTCTGCTCAGTAAATTTGCTTTAAACCCTGAATGTATTAAGTGAAAAAGGTTACGCTCACTGCTGAGTGAAGCATTTTAAAGGCAATGACTTCTCAAGAAAGTGTCTGTGTGATGAACTTTTGCAGCCTGTCTGATTCTTCAGAATTGTAGACATTCATATGTTGCGCAAAATTCTGTAAGCTCTGTTACTAATATAAAACATTCACAGCAGACATGAAAGGACTAGCTAGCACAACTCTTTTGATACCCAGCGACACATCAGAGTGAATCTCACAAAATCTGACAAGAACTTATCCAGGTCCAAAAATAAAATGCCCAGTTTGCATAAAAGTAAGCCTATTTTTTTTATTACTGTAAAAAAATGTATCTGATTCTCATTACTGTAATGAAAAATAATTATGAAAAAAAAAGATATTTTGCATAAAAAGCCTGTTTTCTCATTTCTGAAATGCAAAAACAATCCCATTCTCATTACTGTAATGAAAAATAATTGTGATGAAACTGTAACAATACAAAAATCAAAATACAGATATTTTGCATACGATAAGCCTGTTTTTCTCATGTCCATAATGAAAAAACAAAAAGAAAAAAAAAGAGTAAAAGCACATTATCATTAGTATAATTAAATTAGCATAAGTATAAATTATTTGTGATGGCAATAATAATGGCTAAAAAATAGGTTTCATTTATTATGCAAAACATGTTTTTAAATAGGTAGACTAAATTAAGACCTGAACATGTTCTTTATGAGATTCATAACTCCATTTACATTCTAGTCTGAAAAATGTTTGAATCAAATACAGCTACTCACATCTGACATTAGCAGATATTATATATTAATATTTTTACATAATCTGAACACAACATAGCCTACCTAGAAGCGGTTAACTTATAAAACTATTTGCATTTAAAAACGAACAATAAATAAACAGATTTGTCAAGACAGACTATTAACACAAATGACTAATATGTATCATATTGTTTTTTTTGTATGTTTGCTGCCATAATAGCGTTCATCTCCTCTCTACATACTGCAGACTGGGGAAAAAGTGAATCAAATCTCAGTCTAACCCCACATTTCAAGCTTCACTCATACAGTGAATGTAAGAGATAATACGTGCCATCCTACATCTGGTTATGAACCATAGAAATTGTTCTTTTGTGAAAAGAACCCGAAAAAGATTGCTGGAACACAAATACATTTAGTAGCACAATTATAAAAATACAATTTCACAATTCCTGTGTGCTGCAGACAGTTCAGTAGTTCATTATCAGTAGGCGCAGTCCTTGTCCTCACTGGTTTTGACTGTATTTCAGTCCTCAGATGAAGGTCAGCGTGGCG